TAGAATTGAAACTGATAGAATAGAACTGAAACCACAGTACGAAATTGTCAACTGAAAATAATGTTTTCACTTTAAAAAAAGTATTAATTTTGGTTTAGGAGAAATGTTGTTAAAGTAGAATACACAGCTGTCTTAAATCATAATCTGTTTGATTGAAACTGTTTAAAACTCTTTGAGAAGCTAGTCACGATACAAAATAGATAAAGTAGAATACACAGTTTTCTTAAATCATAACACGATTGAATCGGTTTGAAAAGTTAGTCACGATACAAATATTATTTCATTTCAACTATTAAAACTCAATACATAATGACTTAATTGATACAATACTTAGTTTTAATTAATAGAACGTAATACATAATGACGCAGTATAGAAAGCATTTTCAATTAACAAAACTTAATATATTTGGAATAAACACAATAAATGTACCGCTTATATCTTTTAGTAATTAATAAAACGCAATGCATAATGATAAAAGATAATACATGGTTTTCTTTTGTGATATAAATGTTACACTTAATTACTTAATAGGATAAGTGTTCCTTTAGCAAGTATAATTTAATATACGATACGTAGTAAAATAAGAATTAACTTAGAACAATGCATACTAAAGTAGTTTTTTTCACTATTAAATACACAGATTAGGAAATATATATTGACAAATATTTTATCAAAGTAACCAATAAAAGTTTCAATTTTATATGAATAATTTATGGTTTATATTCACAAAAAATGTGAACAAGACATGAATAGATAAAAAGATAAGTTGTTAGCAAAAGTGCAGCTATAAAACTCTTTTATGGCTCACACTTTAGTGAAGTAATTTTCCTTATTCAGGTCATTATAACGTGAAAGTAAAGATTTAAAGTCACAAATTATGCACATTTTTCATTCCAATGCTTTCTTAACACAAACACATTACGAGGTGCGGGAATATAATGTTCTCTCACTGGCTATAAATATTAAGAACTTTGAAGCTTTACGAGATGGCCTCGAAGAGATTGATTTAGTTTTATTCCTTTTTGACAAAGACTCTAAACAATATTAAACGAAAAAGTATTTAATGAGTTCTTTATTGTACTTCAAGAAGAAGTATTTTCAATAATTTGATATTTTTAAACGACTGAGGCTTATATGTGATTAATAATGAGGCTTATATTTTACTTAGATGAAAGGTTAAAATAATTTTTTGTGTGTTGAAAAGTTTTCATCTTAATTTATTTGACTTGTTACTGAGAAAAAAAGTATGGTCTCTAGAATATGGTAGAATATACCATGATTCTAGTTCTATGGGAACACCAAACGCATGGTAATTTTTACTGAAGCGCTTTTGTAAAGATTTAGGTAAAATTAACGGTATATATATTAGGGGGACTAGAAAATAATGTCGTTTCGGTTCATTTGATATTTGTTATCATTTGTTATCATCATTTGTTATCAATATTTTATTTTTAATCAATAATGTATTCACCCTCGTTAGCAACAACCTTTTAATGCCGGATCGAAAATGAATCTAAAAGGATAGAAAAAAAATTAAATTAGTTTTAAGACTACCGAATATTTAATGCAGCGAAAGGATCTTGCTTTCCTGCCCCCCTAAACCACATTTATTTATCTCCCTTTCAATATTTTATCAGGAGAATATCCGTATTAAAACTCTCTAGAAATTGAAGAAAGATTTTAAAATTCTCTAGCATTGAAAATTGTATTCGTTTTAATTTCAAATTTGAGTTTATTATTTTAACCATGATAGATTTAGGTTTTTCTGGGGGATGAATCCAAATTAGAAGTCAAAAATAGGGTTCTTACTAAATATTTGAAGGTGCACCTCACCCCTTTCCTGGGAATAGATTGCATAACTAAAATTTTTTCACTAGAGGACTTTTTGACTTTTGTTCAAATGCGTATTTTTTTAAATATTTAACTATTTCCATGCTTTTCGAGCACCCTGTATATGCAATTATTACGTACTGTTCATGATCTAGATAGAATAAATATTAAGAATTTCATAAAATCTAAGCAAATATCAGTATAAAACTCACTGAAATGTTTAAACGCAAATATCATTAAAATATTTTATTTCATTTTATATTTGTACAAAAAAATATACTTTTATTCGATGTGCATAAATAGATAGTACACATCATCTTATTTCGTATTTTCAATAGAAATTGCAATTTCAGAAATTACTGTATTGTGTTAAACTACGAAAATACTTTTGGTTTTTGGAATTTTTAATTGAAAACGTAATTTTAGAACTCCAAGGAACAGTTTTATTCGCGAGAAACATTCAAACTTTAAGATGCTCTTTTTTTAAAATTTTGTAATTGCGAATTCTTTTAAATAAAGGAGTTGTACGTGAATCTCAGTTACTAAGATAGCGTGTAGAGTTTTCTCATCATCTCACACATATTTTAGAAGAGAAAACTGCATGCATAAATTAACTTTTAGATCAAAACGCGGGAATGAGATACAGTTTTGTTTATTTTAGTGAAAGGTAAATATATTAAATATGTTCTTTTTGTGATTAACACTAAGCAACTATACTCATCAGATTACTTTTGTCTTTTCATTTTGATATTTTTCATCCAGAAAGCCAAATTTTTTTCATTTAAATACAGAGAATTTGCTAATTCAACACTTCTAGAATAATTTTTATTTTTCTATGCAAGTTTCTTTTCCTATAAAAATATTCCATTCAAATAAAGTTTTATTTAAATACATATGATTAAAAATATTTGTGTCATGCATGTTTATAAAAGTCACATAAAATTTTTTATTTAATATCAGAAATTTGAAAGTTTCCGCTTTTCTAAAACTACACTTAAAAAGTTATATTTATATACCAAAAAAAAAACACAAAAACCCTCCATTTACACTTCAGATAAATTCAATTATTATCACGTGAAAGCTTGTGTTGCTATCTGTTAATAAGAACCAAAATGAAAATGAAAATCAATAAGTTTAAAAGTCTAGCTAATAATTTAATCAACATAAACTATGTCTGTTATTCAGAATGAGATATACGTCTTAACTAAGAAACGGACCCTGAATTCAAAAGGATTCTGTTTGACCACTAGACAAAGACACAGCAATTAAATTTTTAACATTATTAGGCTTAAGTTTTACGTCATCTTTTCTCGAGACTCAAGCATTTCAAAAGGGAAAAAACGAGAACAGTTTACATATTACTAAATTATACGTTATGGAGAAGCTAAAAAGTTACTTGAAGTGTGAATCTTGAGCAATAGACGGGTGGGACATTAAATTTTACGTCGCGAATAGTTCAAATTTTCGAATTTCACAACAGCAGCTATATTTCTCGTGTGATCGGTGATTGAAATGGGCTGCAGGTGGCTCAGAGCATAACTCTCTACTTATGGCAACTATCTACTTATTCACAAGATTCACAAGAATGATTATTTAGCGTGTGGATAGTCATAGGAGAGACAACTGCTTTAGTTTCTATCTTGATTTTAAAGTATATTAATATCTTTTAAGTTATGAACCAGTATAGAACTAAAAACTGCATCAAACACAGTTCTAAAAGAAAGTGTCGTAGAAATTTTATAAAATATTTCTGACAATTGAATGCGAAAAATGTTATGGAAGGGGAAAAATATCATAGTACATTCCCATAAAATATACCATGAGAAGAGGAGGAGAGGGTCAAGACATAGAACTGGTCTTCTTATCAGATGATGCATTCGAGTGCTGCGATCACGAATAAGATTATGATAATGTTAACAATTATTTTAAAACGATCAATATTTGTTACTTAATAAACAAGTAATTTTTTTTAACAACTCTCAACAATTTTACGTGTTATAGTTATTATTAAAAATCACTTGGTTTTAAATACATAGCATAGTGTTTTGTTTCAATCGCTTTCAATTGAAGACATTTTATTATTAGTCATGCTGTAAAATTTAACAGAGGAACTTGGCACTGTCCGGAAAATACACAATTCGTAAAAGGAAATTTTATATTTACAATGCTAATAATAAAAAAAAGTTATCTTCAATATTTCTAATCTGTCAGCTGTTAAATTTGTATTTGATCTCACCACAACTTTTAAGGATGTAAAAAATTCACATACTAAGAGAAAAAGAAAACGAAATAGGTTAAAACACAACTAAATGTCCATCTAGTATTTCATTTTTTAAATGGAACTATATACCTATTAATTGAAAATGCTCGTATATGCTTCATTTTTAAAAAAAAAGTAAATTAATGACTATGTCAAAGTGAATTACGTCAAAACAAATCATGGTAACTTGATGATAAATAAAAAGTGAAAAGATCAATGAATTTTTTTTCTGGTTATAATACAGAGAAAAGAAAAGTAGATAAAACTTAATGGTTAAATGAGCGAAAGTAACCTTAATTACAGATCATTAACACATTTTTATCTTCCAAATTGTGTTATCTTCCTAAGATATTTCAATTAATTATTCTCTTACATAATAAAGTTCTTCATCGAAGCTATTTTTTCATTATTTTTTTAGAAATGCATGATAAGTCTAAAGTGTAAATAAGTTTCTATTATCACTTATTATTAATTATTCTTATATCATATTATATTATTTTTTTCACAGAAATGCTATTAATTATCCTCTTACCTTATAAAATTCTACTTCAGAACTATTTATTCTATTATTTTTTTAGAAATCATGATAAGTCTAAGGTGTAAACAAGTTTGTATTATCACCTATAATTAATTATTCTTATATCATATTATATCATTTTGTTCATATAAATTCTATTAATTATTCACTTACATAATAAAGTTCGACATCGAAACTATTTTTTATTATTTGTTTTAAAAATGTGTGAAAAATCTGAAGTGTAAATAAATTTCTATTATCATGTATAATTAATTATTCTCATGGGCAATTCCACGAAAGTGTCAACTTTTAAGTGAAATTTTTTTTTTATGAATTGCATATTTTAATTTTAATTTTTTTTATATTATTTTAATATTTTAATTTTTTTTGGGGTGTAGTGTGGCAGGCCTCCTCGTGGTGCACCCTGGGTAATGCTGAATCTGCTACAGCCTTCGCCAATACCTCTTGACACTTGGGCAGATAATTTTGATGGAGAAGTGTTTGCAATCCTTATGGCTATTACAGCTATTGGTGAACCATCTGAACAAAACATTGTTATCTTTGTTGATTCTCAGGCTGCTATTCAGACCATTTCTGAATATAATTTATATCCCTCTGAACTCGAATTTAAGTGTAAACAACGCATTGACTCTCTTCTTTGTTCTGGAAGAGAGGTAGTCCTCCAGTGGATCCCTGGCCACTGTGGCATTTACGGAAATGAACGGGCTGACATGTTGGCTAGAGAGGCTTCAGCACTGCATCCATCTTCTCATCCAGTTCCTCTTAGAAATGCAAGGCGGCTTCTTAAGAGCAAATGCAGGCACAGAACAATATCTGCTCTTAGGGACTTAACTTATGGGAAATCCTGGGCTAGCCTTCTTGATGACCAGCAGCGCTCTCACCTTTCCCTCCTTCCCAGAGCTGAGGGAGTTGCTTGCCTTAGATTAATTACCGGACATGACTACTTACAGGCCCATTTATTTAAAATTAACTTGGTCAATTCACCTCTTTGTGTGCTCTGTAGCACTTCGCCAATGACTGGGGAGCATTTATTAGATTGCCCCTCTCTTCTTGACATTCGTTCCTCTGATGACTTTTGTGCCCTCTCACCTTCTGGAGCTACTTCAGTATTGTATTGGACTGCAAGACGCCTTATGTCTGAGAAGACGATGGCGGGCGTAATTTAAAAAAAAAAA